TAAGGACCTGCTCTTAGATACCCAGCACTTAAGTAAAAGTTATGTATGGAGACAAGTGCCTGTAACCCTTTTGCTGGGGAGGAAGAAGCAGGAGTGTCCCTGGAGCACACTGGTCAGGTGGTCTTGTAAAACTAGTAAAATATCCTGTCTCTAATAATAAGGTAGAGAATATGAGAAGAAATGCCCAACTCACACTGGCCCCCACATCCTATACATAAAAACACACACATGCACACACTCCCAAATTTTCCTGTCTCATTCCAAAACTGGTATTCTGGGATGGAGACACGGCTCAGTGCTAACTGTTTGCCTAGCATGCCCAAGCATGTGCAAGGCTCTGAGTTTGAAAAAAATGTTAAAATTCAGTGAGTGAGCTGGGAGCTTGGGTTCTAGCCAGTACACGGCAGTGATTCTCAGGATGAATGTAATGATTCACAGGATGAGTGAGTTTTACTCTGCATTAGCCACTGGCACAATAGTAATTCATTAGACACGAGTTTTATTGTCCTACAACATGATATTAATTTGTTAAATAATTATACACAAATATTAATTACAAAAGAAAATATTGAAAATCTTTGGCGTGTTTAGCACAGGCATGTGCAGGAAGGCAGAAAAAAGAAAAGGAGGGAGATGCACATATTTCTAAACTACGACTCATAGTTACTGTTCAGACCACAATTTAACTGGAGAAGCCGTTGTGTTACTACACAGTGCTATCCATCCAGAGGATAGGGCACTGAATCTGCTACGGAGTAAAGAAAGTCATTTTTGAGTTGGGTCTTGCAGGAATCTCACTCGAACAAGAGAAAGGGAGGCACTTTCTGTTGACTCTGTTAGTCTAAAGATATCTACATAACTAAAACATTCAAATTTTATCCTGAAAAGTATTTGGTCTGGAGTATTTTTCTGTTTTAGATTTGAGCATAGTTTTCTCTCCACTTCTAAAGTAATGTATACGTACTACAAATTTGTATGTGGCAGGCATCTATAACATAAAGTAG